TGATAAGTATGTGTTGAGAGCTTAGACAGAGGTACGTATCAGGAGCTCTCTGTGAATACTCCTGGAAAAGCTGACATAGAGCTGAGTGTTGAAGATTAAGTAGGATTTGGCTGGAAGAAGGTGTTGGGGGAGCGTATCCCAAGGGGGTGTGGGTATCCAGATGCACCAGGCCTGAGGGTGCAGGTGCACACAGAGACTTCCTCAAGAGGGCAGGGATTTTTTTCTGCATTGTTTACTGTTATATCTCCAGTGCATAAAGATGTTTTTAGCATTTAGCAGGAATGTAATGCACATTTGTTGAAATAGAAGGTCAAATGAATTGTGAAAGGGTTTGTATCACTGACACAGAGTTTCTCTGGGGGAAATGTTGAAAAATGAAATATTGTTTGTAATACTAAGACTTGGATTTCATGCTGAAGATGATAGGAAGTCATTTAACAATTTAAAGTCTCGAAGCGATGTGAAGGTCTTTTCATCACTGTCCAAACTGAGTTGGAGGGTGCAAATTGTGTGACTTTTCTGGGCCCATTTAATCTGTTATATGAGAGTAACAATAGTTCACTACATCATAGGGTCATTATGAGACTTTGTGTGTGTGTGTGTGTACATGTGTACCTGTGTATGTGTGTGTGTGTGTGTGTGTGTGTGTGTAAGAGAATATGATAAGCAATATATAAATACTAGTTATGGCCTGATCTTCCTGTATTTCCCATTCTGGTCAGTGGACCATTCATTGTTCAACCACTTACCCAAACCAGAAATGTGAGATTTATCTGAACTTTTCTACGTCCCTAAATTCCACATCCAAAGTCAATGAATCCTATCACTATTCTTTCCATCACCATAAGTAACTTGGACTTAACCTTTCTTAGCCCTACCCCAAATGACCTAAACTGGCTAGTCTTCCTATCTTGTCTTTCCCTCGTTTTTTGACATTCTCTCTGCAATGATTTTTCTGAAATGCAGATCTGATCTCTTAAAACTCTTCAGTGCCTTCCTGTTCTCCTAGAAAACAAATACAACTACAAGCAAAGGCCCTTTCTCTGCCTAGTTCTGACCTTTCTTTAATATTTACACTTCCTGAACGCACCGTGATACTTTGGGTTTCCATGTTTTTGAACATTCAGATTCTCTGTGAAATATCTCCTATCTCCTGATACTTCCCTGAAATTGTTTCTGGTAGGTCATCCAAATGTCAGACGCATCCCTTGCTCTCAGTTGATACTGTATTTCATGTGGATCTTATCCGCAGCACCTGTCATGTTTATTATAATCATTTGCATGTCATTCTCTTTCGAGGCTGAGCTTAATTATCTCTGAGTAAATCAGACACATGAATTAACTTCTAGGAGAGTATGAGTTATGTGTCCCATCTTCAGTCACAGGCAGTTGTTAAACGTTTGTTTATTGAGCAGATCATCTGGTTAATGATCACTTACACCTATATGGAAGAAACGTTTACAGTTATTTTATTTGCTGCTAAGGGGAAAATTCTTTTAGCTTTGTTGCTATGGCAAATGTGCTCTCCCTTTCCAGTCTTCCAAATTCAGCCATTTCCTAGTGGAGCAATAATACTATTTCTTAAAAATGAAGTTTCTGGAAGAGCCAATAAGAAGGGTTGTCAAGTCAGTTCTTAGACCATGCTGTGGAAATTGCTCTCTACTTATTGTCTATGAGTTAGGATGCTATAAAATAATGCTGACTTATTGCCTGAAGAACAGCTGTTAAGGCTGTAGATTGATGCTTTATAGGAGGTTGAGAGAGAAGAGAGCATTTGAGTTGTAGCTCTATGTGGCACAGAGAGGAAAGCCCTCCTTCTTTCCTAAGGTCTGTACAGTCCAATCCTAAATAAGGCATTCGGGCAGTAGACCGGAATCTATTTAAAAATGCCTTGTCTTCAAATTACTCTTCTCATTCTTACTTGAAGGCTCATTTGGGAGGAAACTGGCATATGGGTGTGGGTGTCAGGGATGGTTTATGGTTTAAATGGGGTCTGTGACTCCTCATCTCCATACATGCTTATGTATTAGATAATAAATTTAAAGAACATTTGTAGTCTCTATCTAAAGTAATACTGAAGATATAGTCATTATTTTTCCTGCATGAGTGTAGTAATTTCCCCATGAGATATGCTGATGGGAGAAAACTAATCACCTTTTGCAGAGAAAATAATAACACTCAAGTAGATGATTGTACCCAATGGCTAATGAATTATTCAAGCTTGCTTGTGTTTTCACCTGAGCTTGGTGTCAGTGGAAGCAGGGGTGATGAGCTAAGCTTTTCAAACCATTACAACTGGTCAACCCCAAGAGCATACTTCAGTGGAATCTGTGGCTGCTCATCTCCAGATTCCACTCATGAACTGTCAAATATTCAATGTAATGTTTTAATTTTTTGTTGGCTCCTTTTGTTTTGTCTTTTGATAGGAGAATGCTTCAGTACCAGAAAAATCACACTCTGGCTATATCCTAACAATAATAGCAGTAACCTTTTCTGTGTTGCTTGTATATTGTTTTTCTTTTTCTTTTTTCCATTAAGTTTATTGGTACATTTAAAGCAAACAATTCAGTTACATTTACCATTGGGATCTTGTACCTTTACATGATGCATCTTGGTTCTTATTTTCTCCCTATACCCCTGCCCTCCCTTCACCCCCTTCACCCTTCTCTATTTACAAAGACTTTGTTTCCAATTTTTCCTTTTTCCACATTTTTTCTTTTCCCTTGTTTCCTTTGCCCTCCCCTTTCCACTTCCCCTTTAGCCATTTTCTTCCTATTTCACACTCTCAATCTGTTGCTTTTCATTTAAACCATACAATTGGGGTTGCAGTTAGGTCTCTGAGGTTGTTAGTAAAGGAAACTGAGGTTCAGAGGAATTGTGCCCATTGCTATTCAAAGGAAGACCTCTGACTGTCACTTGAGGGCTCATTCCCTTGCCTCCCACTGCAGGAGCAGCTAGACATGTGGGTTTTAGTTTGCTGCCTCATCAGAATGAAATGAATTTCCAGGATGCTGATTAGCTGCAAACTTTTCATTAGAGAGAAACTCTGTAGTACTTTGCTGCATATCGGAGACTCCTGTGAAGCAGGAAAGATGTCCAAATAGTCAGGTTTGGCTACCTGATCTTTTCAGTGTTGGCCAAAATGTATGTAGATGGATGAGAGCCACAAAGGGAGCCAGTAAATGTGACTAAGGATGACTTCTCATACTTGAATCTGACTATTACTCTTAATGCAAAGTTCTGCTTCCTGAATACAAAAAAGCCGAGAAAAACATTCTTTATATTTGTGAGCTTACTTTTCATTTACTTTTTTTTTTCTATTACTGGAATCAAACCCAGGGCCTTGCATATGCTTGGCGAGGGTTGTACCACTGAGCCACATCCCAAGCCCCTTAGGCTTATTTTTTATTTAAATTTATGATAATTATTTGCTACTTAAAATATTAGATACATCCTGCTTTACTTTAATAATGTTCAAAGGAATTGTTACTAAATCTATATCATAAATGTGTAACCACAGGATGAGGTAAAATAAGTCCCAGATGAGGTGTAAAGTGATTAAACCCCTTTCTTCCTAAACATACATATTAATATTACATTGATTTGCTAAATGGCATTATTCAGGCATTTAAGACTTTTTACTTCTCTTTGGTATCTAAACATCCTGAAACCTTTCCCATGACAGTTCAAATTCTCTCCAGCTCTTTTCTCTGGGGTCTTTTCTGTTTTTACTTCATTATTTTCAAATCAACCTTTTCCTTTTTGGCTATAGGCACAGAATAGAGGCTTTGTTCATTTTAATTAAATTTTAAATGATGACTGAAACCATCTCCATTCACAACTCTTCTAATATAGTGCCTGGAAAATATTGAAAGAAGATGTAGTTATACACATATTTAGCTGTATTCAGAACAGTATCATAGGGAGAATGTTGGCTTCTCCTTTTTTTAAATTTCAAGGTCATTCATCTGCCCCCGTCTTTTTTATGTTCATGTAAGTATCTTCCCACTAGACTTCAAACTCTAGTGCACACAGTGACTACCTAGCATGGGGTCATTTCCACAGCATCTCCCTAGCATTTCTTTTCTTTTAAGTTTTAATTTTATTGTTACATTTTGGGTATACAGTAGAAGGACATTCATCATTGGAGATTTGTACCTTTACATAATATATCTTGATTCTTATTTTTCACCATATCCTGCCCTCCCTTCATCCTTCCTGAATTTTTTTGTAGAATAAATAATGCTATTTATCTCAGGTGGCATTTTGTAGAACAAACACAAATCTTCATTACACTGTTTGATTTCAGTTGCATACAAGAACATTCTAATTGAACGTGAGCACTCAGAATTAAGAAACAAGCCATTAGCTTAGGTTAGGGGCTGTTCAGTACTGTTTACTCTCTCCCAGTATACCTTGGCACTTGCAAAATAAAACAGATGTAGGTAAAATTTTGCTTGATTCTGTTTCTCTAACACTCTCTTTCACAGAATCAGTGCAACCAAGAGCTTGAATTTTGGAGCGTTCCCACTGGCCTTTGCTTATTTAGCATGTTGCTGTTTATTAAAATCTCATCTGTGTTGATGTCGTCTAGTGTGAGAAGCTGAAAGTGTAAATAAGGACTAAAAGGCATAATAGATAATGTGAAATTGGAAGAAAAGGTGCAAAGGGGAAGGGGTAGTGGGAGGGGTAGGGGAAAAGAAAGATGGGAAAGGAACGAACACGAGAAAAAAAATGGAAACAAAGTCTTTGTTGATAGGGAGAGGTGGAGGGGTTGAAGGGAGGGTAGGGGAATGGGGAAAAAATAAGAACCAAGATGGATCATGTAAAGGTGCAAATTTCCAATGATGAATATCATTACATTATATGCCTTAAATGTACCAATAAAATTAATTTAAAAAAAGAAAGATGGGGAATTAGAAGAACTACTGTAAACCTCAAACATTTATAGATGATCCGAATTCCTCAGTGGCTTAATCTATTATTTCTTATCTTTTCAGGGATTTTCTTCCACGAGGGTCAGGCATCGTGACAAGACGACCTCTGGTGCTGCAGCTGGTTACTTCTAAAGCAGGTAATGGGTGCAGGTGCTTGCTGCATGGATGAGCACATTGGTGGCACTTGTCATTTCATTCCCAGGTGCGGGGTTGAGCCCGTAGAAATGCCTTTGTGATCACTACGCTGTAGGCAGATGCCTGCGTTTCTCCGCATGATGCTTCCTTCTTGGCCTTTCAATTCTTGAATTATGTGAGGGAGAAATTTTCATTTGCCTGTAGTTTTTTTTTTAACACTCACTTTTATACCTCGAAAATAATATAATAATAAAATAATATTTTCTCATTATACTCCATCTATATAATTTTACATATAGTACACCCTTTTGTTTATATATAGAGATTTTTTTCCTAAGTTACGAAATTCAACAACCGTACCTAGGAGTGGCAGAGTTATATGGTAAGTTTAATTGCTTAGAAAATTGATGATATTTTGAAGTACTTGCACCATTTTCTGTTCCCACCTGTCCCGCCTGTAATGTATGGTGGTTCCAATTCCCCACGTCCCTGCCATCATCTGTAGTTGTAAAGTGCTATGTGTCATGGTGATTCTGACTTGCATTTCCTCGTCACTGATGCTGAGTACCTGTTCATGTACTTCTTGGTCATCGATATATCTCGATTGGGGGAATACCTATTCATCTTCTTTGCTCATTTAAAAATTGGATTGTCTTTGTATTATTGAGTTGCAGGAATTTTTTATATATTCTAGATATGAGTCCCTTATCAGATATTTGATTTGCAAAAATTACTCTTATTCTATGGATTGGTTTTCCACTCAATGTGTCCTTTGAAACACAGCTTTAATTTTGATGAATTCTGCTTTTGTCAGTTCTATTCAACATTTTCCTGTAGGGGCTAGCCAGGGCAGTTGGGTGAGATAAAGAAATAAAAAGTACCTACATTGGGAAAGACAAAGTAGAATGATCTCTGCTTTCAGATGATGTGATTGTGTACCTAGAAAACCCATAAGAATATACTAATACAGTATTAGAACTAATAAATGAGTTCAAGAAGGTCACAAGTTACAAGATCAATATGAAAAAAATCAATCATATTTCCATACACCTGTAACAAACAATCCAAAAATGAAATTAAGAAAAAGTCCAATTACATTAGCATCAAAGAATATATGGCTAGGAATAAATTTAAGAAAAGAAACATTAAGTTTACTTTCTGAAAACTACATAGTATTGTTGGAAGAAATTAGAGAAGATCTAAGTAAATTGAGAATACATCCAATATCTATTGATTGGAAGACTTAACAATACTCCCCAAATTGACATACAAATTCAATGTAATTTCTGTCAGGATCCTAGCCAACTTCTTTGTAGATACTTTAACCATTTTTTAAATGTTAAAAGAATATTACCAGAACTGTCTGATTCAAAGAAATGAACTCAAGTGCCATTTCAAAAAAGTAAATTATGTGCAAACCTACACTGCTATATAGCAGTGACTATATTTCTCTACCTATCTGGTGATTTATATTCTGGTGAAAAATTCTTTTTAGGGTTTTTTTTCTTTTTATTGAGTTTATTGGTACAATCTAGGTATACAGTACAGTTACATTGATCATTGGGATTCTGTACCTTTACATAATAGGTCTTGATTCTCATTGTTTCTCCGTGTCCCTGCTCTCCCTTCACCCCTTCCTCCCCTCCCCATTTACAAACACTTTATTTCCATTTTTCAGTTTCTCATATTTTTTCCCCTCCCTTATTACCTTTCCCCCACACTTTCCCCACACCTTTAGCTCTTCACTTCCTATTTCACATTATTAATTATCTCATTAGGATCCTGTGTACTATTATAGTTTTTCACACCAAAGAAACTATTCGATATTTCAGTTAAAGAAATCTCTGTATGAACATTAAAAATAGGGAACCCTAAAATAAAACTGAAAAGGAAAGTAAAAGAGAAAAGACAATGATGTAACATTAAAACAATCCTTAATTCTGGAGATGAAAATGGTCCCTGAACATATTTAAATTGCTTCTTGCTCTTATAGTCTTATCTTATTCTTTTTTTCATTATTTAGAGAATACTTTATTAGTTTCTATAATCAAACCCACATAGATATGACCTTACATATTTAGTACAATGTGTTACCCCTGTACACATGGAAAAAAAATAAAAAATAAAAATAAATTAACATTTCTAGACCAACATGGCTGTTCATTTCTGTACAATGCCAGCTCAACACAGTAAATTGGGATGACTTTTTCCAAAGTTGGCAGCACCATTAAAGTTTCCCAAAATTCAATTTATATATATATGTATATACATATTTATATTTATATAAAAAGACTAATAATAGTATGTTATGCATCAATAGCAGCAACAGCTTTTCCAGGTTCTGCAGTCATCTGAACAAAATTATAGACATTCAGCACATTCCATTAAAAACAAAACAAAACAAAACAAAAACAAAGAAAAGAATAATATCCAGAAAACAGCAAAGTTCTGTTGCTGTTGTGGTACCTGGCATCATTTTTTTTTTATTAGCATCTTAATCATCATCTGGAAAGAGAACATTCTAGAGTAATATCATTAAATGTAGCTCTGATAAAGCACAGTCCCTACTATGTATCGTAAAGCAGGTACAAGATATTTTACATTCATAGAGGTATGATACAGTACCATCCTACATCAATAATACTAGAATCAGTCTTGGTTTGAAATTTACTTTGTCTGCAAATAAGATTGCTACCCCTGTTTTTTTCTGGGCTCCTGTCACATGAAGAATTGTTTTCTATCTTTTCACTTTCAGCCTATGGGCTTCTTTTTGCACTAGGTGTGTTTCTTGTATACAATATATTGTTGGATTTTGCTTCTTATTCCATTTTGCCAGTCTATTTCTCTTGATTGGTGAGTTGAGGCCATTGACCTTGCTAGTTATAACTGATATGTACTGACTTATTATTGACATGTTATTGGCCTTTTGTTGACTCTTTTTACTTTTTCACCTTGTCCTTTTAATTTCTTGCCTTGCCTATTTGATTTGCTCTGTTGGGCCTCATGTTGTTGCCATCATTGTCTTTTTCTAGGATCTTGTTTAGAATTGCTTGTAGTGCTGGTTTGGTATTCATGTAGTTTCTCAGGTGTTCTTTGTCGTGGAAGTGACTTATTTCCCCATCCATTTTGAAAGAGAGTTTGCTGGATACATCAGTCTAGGTTGGAAGTTATTCTCTTTTAGTACTTGAAATATCTCATTCCAGGCTCTCCTTGCCCCAAGGGTTTGTGTTGAAAAGTCTGCTTTGATTCTGATGGACTTTCCCTTGTATGTGACTTGTTTCTTTTCTCTTACTGCTTGTAGTATTTTGTTCTTCTGATGGGTTTCTGGGAACTTGATTATTATATGTCTAGGTGCAGATTTTTTTTTTTTATTGTAGCTAGTTGGGGTCCTAGGTCCTATATGCCTCAGTTATCTGAATGTCAAATTCTTCCCCTCTGTTTGGGAAGTTTTCTGTCATTAATTGTTTGAACAGCTTTTTAAAGTCATTTGTATTTTCTCCCGCTGCTTCATGTATTCCTATCAGTCTTATGTTATTCTTCTTTGCATCATCTAGGAGTTGTTGGATCAATTTCTCATGATCCCTTACTGTTTTTAAGAGACCTCTCTTTTCATGGTCACTGACTGCAATCTTATCTTCTATATCTGAGAGTCTGTCTTTGCATTCTTTTATTCTATTGCGTACACTTTCAATGGAGTGTTTAATCTCCTGGATATCTGTTTAAATCTGTTTTATGGATTCCATTTCTTTCTATGTTGGGCATTTATTTTTTCCATTTCTTTCTTATGCTGGGCCTTCATGGCTTCTATTATGGTCCTGAGCTCATCTATTTCTTTGTCAGTTTCTGCTCTAGAGTCTCAAATCACGACTTCATTTTGCTCACTATCTCTGTGGTTATCTGGGAAATTATTTGTGTTTTGAATTTTTCTAGAGCCTGATTGATCTGTTTTGTTATTTCCTGTGCTTTGAGTTCAGGGTGTCCTGGTGGTTCACTATCGGCCTTTTCATCCTCATTTGCCCTACTGTTTGCCATTGGTAAACTGGAAGTCTGTCCTTGTGTCTTGCTTAAGTGTTTTCTCATTTTTATTTTTGTTGTCAGGCTGTCCTTGGTTTAATCTCTGGATTATCACCCAAATCTTCCTGATATAGTTGTGCCCTAGCTTCTGGGTCTCTAACGACCCACAGACATTCTTATCTTCATAACATCAGAGAAAACAGCTCATCAAATTAACCGCAATGCTTTATCCCAACTGATACAATCAGCACCATATTAAGATCAAGCACAACTTGGATACTGACCACCTGTGGTAGTCACTAGTCTATCACCCTTAAATAATTTGAATTAAATTGAAATCAAGAAGCAGTCCAGAACATGTCTGCAGTGGACAAAATTTCAATATACTGTATTTACCATTTAATGGCTCAGACAGAGTGAGGATGCAAGCCCCCTGGTCTCAGTTAGCTGATGGCTGAACCCCATGATGCTGACTGACCTCGGGCTGCAAGGCCCAGAATGAGTTCACCAACCTTCTGAATGGTTGAACTCCACAACATTCTATTACAGGTTTCCCATGCCCTTTCTTTAAAGATGTTCAAAGTTGGGAACTCAGAAAAATGCCCTTTATGACCACCTCTGCCTCTGCAGAGTGAGTCCAGAGACTGGCACAGTCAGGAGGTCTGAGAGTGCCGGGGGGGGTATGGGGGTTCAGGGGCACCTGCATGGCTACCTTCCTGGCACTGGAGCGATGGCAGCTGGGTCGGGAGCAGGCGTGGCTCTCTTTCCCGTGGTGGATCGGGTGAAAAATTCTTAATGCATAGAGGTTTTACTCATTATATTTGTTAAACTTATACATTTATATTCAAAAGAGAAGTTAATATTTTGTGTAGTTTTATTCCTTTTCATTACTTTTTAATTTAAAATTATTTTGTGCTCCTGGGGATTGAAGCCAGGGCCTCATACATGCCTTGCTAGTTCTCTATCACTGAGTAACAACCCAGCCCGT